GATGGTGCAAAGAACATGTTATGCACTTTTGCAGCAGCCTCCTTTAACTTTGTAGTGTCTTTGCGCCATCTGTAAATAGTGCCGCGCGTGACGCAAAAGAGAGCGGCGGCTTCTACCGCTGAGTGCGCAGCAAGAGCACCCTGAAACAAGGAGTTAGATAATATATTTAAGAAGATGAGTAGGAGGTATACCTTGTACTTCTTCTTATTCTTATTCTTCGGTCTGCGTGGCATACTGGGCGTTTTAATCTGAGAGGCGGGAGTCATTTGGGCGCTTATAGAAAAACCTAAACGAGGTTTTATTTTTGACTTGATTATGACCAATTATTTGTGTCTCACTCGATCGGACAAATACGGTATCATGGAGAACTGGGGCATTTCGAAGGATTACTGCAGCCGTTTTGTTCGAGATTCAGGGTCGAATATGGTGTCCACAGGAGAAATCATGGATGTTTCGTACCATGCATGCGTTTCGCACGAACTACATCTCATCGTATCGGGGCTTTTGTCGAAGAAGAAGACAACAGAGCAACCCAATCCGGCTTGGGAAGCTATTGTCAGTGCAGAAACAGATGCATGTTTAATTGAAAATGAAGAGGACGATGATTTAAGTGAAGAAGATGGAGCATGCATAGAGGGCCTTCGTGATGCTGCTGTTGATGAAATGGATGTGTTCCTTAAAAAAGCACTGGCTGCATTGGAGATGGATGAGTTGGCTAACATGAGAAAGACGGTACAAACATTTCGGACACTTGCTGTGTATTTTAGGAAGTCTCCCAAAGCGCGTCACCGGTTAGAAGAAATTCAAAGAACGAGCTGAATATTGCAGGCGACAAGGTTGTTACGTTTCGAGTGGACTGCCCTACACGCTGGAATAGCTGTTGGTTAATGCTGTTGCGCTTTATTCAGTTGCACCCTGCTCTAAACAAGTTTTTCGTTTACTTGAACTCTCCATGAGACCGTATAGAGTTCAGAGACGTGCACAACAAGCTGAATAGGCCTGAAGATGTCGACCGGCTGGCTATTAGCTGCTTAAAAACTCTGTTGGCTCCGTTTGCGGCGGTGTCAAAAGAACTGGGTGGACAGCATTACGCCACTCTACCCCTCGTTTTACCCGCTCTCTATGGACTTCGTACTAAGCTCCGTCAAGATAATTTATTTGAACAAAATCGAGCATCTGCCGGGGATGAAGATTATGTGGCCGATGTTATGGTGATGGTGCTAGAGTACGGTAACGCGGTGCTACGGCTGTGCGACAAGCACTTCAAGCGCTTTCAAGAAAGTGATCTAGTGTGGGTAGCGTATCTTGTCCCAAGAGTTGCAAAATACATGAATCATCTCAGCGAAGATGCCAAGCCTCAAGCTCAAACCCAATTGATCAACGCAGCAGTCGCATTGGCTCGCAAAGAAAACTTACTTTTACAACGAAGTGCCTTCCTCTCTCCACAACAACGAAGTGCTGAATCTGA